GGGGCGGGGGGAGAAGAAAAACTAATAGCACTCACCAAAACGACTCTTTTCAGCATGAATGGTACAGAAGAGGAGAGACATACCTTTTGCTGGGTGCTTGATTTCTGGCCAACCCGGGAGGGACTTTGGGACTAGAGGGGAAAAGGAGAAAGAAATCTATGAAGAACAAGGGATAATAGGAGGACTTACTCTGAAACATTTCTTCTAGGAGTTACTATGAGCCCTGGTGGCCAAGTTCCAAGTTAAAATTCCTTCCCTTAACCTTCCTGTCACAACCTCTAGACATCTAAGAATAGAAGCAGAGCATCGGCTCCGTGATGAATTTTACATACTAAATAGAGGCTGCTTCAGTCCTGGAGCCCAGAAGGTGCATCTGCACCTCCTCCCTGTCACTGCGGGGCTCAGAGTTACCGACTCAGCATCTTCCCCAGAGGAGGAGGCCTACACGGAAACTGCAACCGAGGAGGAAATACTCCCAGCTGAACTCTGGCAAAGCGAACGAGGGGAAAGGGAACAGAAGAAGTGGTGAGATAGAGGAAGAGGAGAGGAAATTGGAAAAGAGAAAACAGGGCAGAATACAAGAAAGCATGCTCCTGGCAGGTTTTTTAAGCACACTTCTGTAAGGTGGGTTTGCATCTCTGCTGTTTTCAACACATTGCTATCACATACAAGCATAGCTCACCACAACATTTGTTCTTACAGAGCCTGCCCCCACCCCCCACCCCATCAGGTTGTTTATGATTAAAGCAGGCATTGAACTGCAGCGAGTCATTCAGCACAGATTTTTATTATACTTGTTCTCCCGATGTGGTTAAAAAAAAAAAAAGTAAAAATCTAACTTACTCTAAGCCTTGCGGGTGCAATGGTTAAGCAGGCTGCTGCTAAAAGGCTAGGGGGTGGCACTCCCCAAGGGCTCCGCAGCAGAAGAGATCTGACAATCTGCTCCCATAAAGATTACAGCCGGAGACTCCAGGGGCTGCTCTGCTCCGGCATAAAGGGTCCTTATGAGCTGGAATCAACTCGACGACCCACGACAGCATGTTCAGCATTCAGATTGGGAATGCATTTGGATTTAAATGCACTATAAATCAATTAGGTCTAATTTCTATAATGTAGTTAGAAAAATCATCTTCCTAAGTCAGCAGTCCTTGAGTGTTTGGGCCTCAGGATTTCTATACTCTTAAAAAGGCCTATAAATAACTTTTGCTCATGTGGATCATACCTATATACATTTACTGAACTAAAAATTAAAACAAAAAAAATCTTAACTAGACATTGGTTACCCATTGGGCTACTAATCACAAGATCAACAGTTCAAAACCGTCTAATGCTCTTCAAGAGAGAGATGAGGCTTTATACTCCTATGAAGAGTTACAATTCAAAGCCCACAAAGTCAGCCCTACTCTCTGCTATATGGTTGCCGTGAGTCAGACTCGACTCTGTGGAAGTGAGTTTGTTGTTCATTTGTTTTAATTTATTAACCTGTTACATGTTAAGATCAATATGTGTCATATATTTAATGTGAATTCAAAGCAAAACAAATTTTGTGAGAAGACAGCATTCTTCTACATTTTTACAAATCTCTTTAATGTCTGGCTTAAAGGAAAGTCAGCTGGATTCTCATGTCTGCTCCTGCATGTACTGTGCTTTGATAATGTTTGTTTGAAGGAAATGATGACAATCTGGTCTTCTCGAATAGGTAATTGAGAAAAGAAACCATATGCATAGCAATCCTTTTCAGATAATTGTGGAGATTCTGCTCCACACCCAAACTCACCGAG